CGAATGTATAAAACAATGGCAATACAAGGACTAGCTGTGTATAGACCCATCCCAACTAACAACCCAATAGCCCCACCACCAATATGCCAAATGACTTGCTCTGCAAATCTCTCAGTAATAGCCACTGCCCTGCGAACGACTTACATAATGTATTCTGTATCTTCTGTAACAAGTAGCCCAGTAAAACAAACAATGAAAATATGCCACCAACCCGAAAGAAGTCAACCGACCATTGCCACTAAGAACCATGAAGGTTGTCACGAGCTCAACAGTAATATATCCAACATTCATGAGTTATTGTATACCCAAAAGGCCCTCTATGATCTTGAGAATGAGGGCCAAAATGGAGTTTGAGTTAAAAAGGATGGGTATACAGCACCTGATAGTGACCAAGCATTAGTATCCAGATCGTACAGACCTTCTTATTGTTGCCAAAATGAAATCAATGTTGAAATGCATGAATTTAAGGCACCTATTAGTTATCAAAACCCTACAAAAATGAATCATATCAATGTAACAAATGGTTTTGGTTATAGTTGCCAAAACGGAAAAAAAATGAAATAGACGAGCAACACGAGTTTGATTCTTGCTAGGAGCCTAGTAAGGGTGAATATAAGTCGTACTTAAGTTTGTGGAAGAAGACAATTCGAAGAGACAATGTAGTGTTAAATCTTGGCCTAAGAATGGAATTGGAGTAAAAATAGAAGAACGTGAGGTATGCAATTATTATCAGAAATTTGCTAATTGTATTGCCGATAAAACCTGTGATGCAGAGGTGGTGAAAGACGCTGATGAGATGAATGATCTTTTACGTTGCAATGAGAATAGAATTGGGGTGGAAAAGAACGAATATGAAGTATTTAAAGAAAATGTAAAGTATGCCGAAAAATCAATAATGAAAGATAGGTCTAATAATAGTAATGTAAGATCAGAAAGTTGGTTCGTAAAAATAGTTCAACAAATTGAAGATGATATGAACAAAGGTATTAAGAGTAATGAACAAAATAGTATTGTTGAGAAGTGCAAAATAGATGAAGATGAAGAAAAAAAAGAAAATGTTGAACCGAATGAGGTAGTTAGTATGGGCAGTGATGAACCTTCACAAACAAGCAAAAAAGAAAAAGAAAACTTACCCTTGTCTGGTAACCAACCAGCCAGAAAGATCAAATGCACAAGTGAAATGCCCAACGATGAGATCATTAAAGATAAATATAAACAGTCTAATGAAAATGAATTATATACAAATCAGCTCAATAATAGCAATGCAGAGGAACAATGTAATCACGGACAATGCTTGCAAAATAACAAAAATTCAGATAGAAATGGCAAAAAGATGCTTGAACGGTGTTGAAAAGCTAGAGAAGG